TTATTTTCCTTGCATTAGACTTAATGCTTAAAGAAAGGGAGCTCCAGTAGCATTGCCATATAGTCCTAACTATTTCCAAACAGGAGCTGAGTAAATATCCCTTCAGAGGTAGAAGTTGTATTGGAATTGTAGAGCCAATCCTTACAATATAGGATTCAGTTTATCATATTGAGTAGCAGAAGAAGATGACACTTTCTACTGTTCTCATTATTTTTTTTTCATGTTAGCTTCAGTGTCAGAGAATCCAGAGCCTACACCTGAAGAACAAGACAAGTCGCTTGACAAGCCAAAACAGAAAAAGAATCGTTGTTTCATGTGTCGGAAGAAGGTTGGACTTACTGGTGAGAAATACTGACTGCGTGTTTTCTTATGAGAGACTTAGTCTTTGGAGCTTTTGAAATACTCTTTTCTTAAGGGAAAAGGGGGCATAGTCATCTCTTGAAATTACTTATTTGAAATAAATCTTGGCTAGAGATGCTTTCAGCTGGCTGCTTACTGGATTTAGTTCTTTGTATGTCCTTTTGCTTTTGAGCTTGCTTTCTCTAAGTAAAATTCTTAATTCCAAATGCTGCTTTCAAAAGTCTGCTTAGATGAGGAGTCAGATGATAGTTTGCTGCGATTCACTAACCAGCCTTTGCAGTGGTTCAGTGGAAGGGTTCAACTGAGCGTCAGTTCTGTGGGGTGTAGGTTCAAAAACAAAACTAGCAGCAGATCTCCACAAACGTGTTTTGTATTAGTGTATCGTGATAGAAAGGAATGGCCTAGTCAAATTGTTATAATCACTTAAATATTTGTGATTCTTATGCTTCCTACAGCAGAGGCACTTTGGTTTTGATTGACTTTGGTTTTGATTGATACTGGTGACTAAGAGGTATTGATAGGGAGCAAATTCGGGATTTAAAACAAACCTGTATAATTATAAATACTGAAATGTCTAAGCCAATATTTCTGTCCACAGGGTTTGAGTGTCGGTGTGGAAACGTTTACTGTGGTATGCACCGTTATTCAGATGTACACAGTTGCTCTTACAATTACAAAGCTGATGCTGCTGAGAAAATCAGAAAAGAGAATCCTGTAGTTGTTGGGGAAAAGATCCAGAAGATCTGAACTGCTGCTTCTGCTGGAATACAAAATCCTCTGACCATCTGCAGATTAAATTGACTTGAGCTTTTTTCCTTAGTCATCAGGAATGTAGAGCAGTGTATCTTGCCTAGACCTTTTAATCATGCATGTCATCAGATGAATAGATTTTTTGTTTTGTTTTGTTTTGAAAATGACTCTGAACATTTATTTTCATTGCAGTTTTTTGTGGCTGAAGACTTAAGTAAACTTTACAAGTATTATCCTTTAAGATCATCTTAATTTTAGTTGAGTGCAGAGGGCTTTTATAACAAACATGGAGAAAATATTGGAGGGCTGTGCTTTTCCAGGTAAAACATGCATGCGTTAACTTTGCAGTTTATTTTCTTGTTGTATATAGCTTTTCTCTGCAGCACAATTTCCTTTTTTTGATAATGCCTTGTATGGCACAACTAGTTATCAGTAACTGAATGTATTTTAATCATTATGGCTGCTTCTGTTTTTTTGTTTTGTTTTTTTTTCCTCCCATTAATGAGAGGTTATACATGTTCGCATATTAGCTTGTTTGCACCCTCTACCTATTTATGTATGAATCATTTGTAATGAGAGTGTGTGCTGAGATTGTCTGTGTGGTTTTTTAAAATTGATTTTTGTTTTTGCGTGTGTGGGGGGAAGGCTGTATGCACTTCACTGACTGCAGGTTTCATCGGGATTACATCCATCAGTTTGTCTGTACACAAATATGAAGAATGATCTGAAGTACCTGTGCTGTATTTATGTTTATCCACGTCTTAACTTTGATTAAATAAAATTTTAAAAAATTGGGACTCCTGTGGCTGTCAGTGGCATCTGTAATCTGTATTTTTTATGCTTTATTTTCCTGGGGATTCTTCACTGGTGACTCATGTATGTGCAGGGTGTTTATGCACAGAGGCATTATCAATGCCAGCTAACTTTGATCTGCTTTCTACCTGTTCCCTTTTAAGTACTAGAAAGGCCAGTTTTCTGAAATCAATGCCAGCTAACTTTTATCTGCTTTCTACCTGTTCCAAGTACTAGAAAGGCCAGTTTTCTGAAACCTGCATTTTGTATATTGATACATGCTGCACAACTGTGTTTTCCCTCTCTTCATGCTTCCTGTGTGTGGTGCAATTCACACATGCAGGAGCAGGGTCACTTCTGTTAAAACATACTGAAACTGAGGGGATGCCCAGGGGGAAGACATGACCTGTTTAAATCGCCGACGAGGCAGTGATTCCACAGATGTGATTCTGGTCTGTGAACGTGATTCTGGCTTTAGGGAATATAGCCATGGAGTTTGTGATCCAGTAGCTGAGCTGCAGAGCACTCTAACTTATTTGGAAGTAGATGACAGGATGGTTCTTGAGACGCCTTCTGCAGCACATGCCCTTGATTCTGAGGTGTGAAACCCCTCAACTTCAAAGTTGACCATCGCCACCTCTTACGTGCTGTTTAGTGAATCCACAGCCTTGTAAGTAATTCTGATGTGGGGGCAAACGGGATTGTTCTCTTGCTGCCTTGTGAGGGTGTTCAGTAGTTTTCTTTTAATGAAGTTTGTCTGTTTTGTTGGATTAGAGTCTGCACCAGCCGTTCAGCTGTGTTATCCATGTAGCTTAAAGGTCGAGTGGCTAATGTAGCACCAAGTAACCTCATCCCGTGCTGCTGCTCGCAGGCCACTGCACTGAAACAAATTCCTCTCCAGATGGCACTGATCCCTCAGCTGAAAAGTCCCTTGGTGACTTGCTGCTGATTTTAAGCTCCTTTTGAGCATTTGTGGAATAAATACAATTGCTTGGCTTCATTGAAAATGTGTGTTAAGAAGTAGATTGAAGCTGGATGCATCCTTTAAAATTCCGAATGGTCTTGAAAAGCTGTGGCTGCAATTAGGAGATAAAATACCACATTTAGGATGTAAACACTATGCAGGAGAAGGCTTTTTCTCTATTAGAAAGCTGTGGAAAGCAACCTGCAAGACCCAGTAATTCATGAAGTGTTTTGCTCTTTTGAAACTGCTTTAAGTGCCAACTCTGAAAGGTTCATATTTTTGTAGTAAAAGAGGGAGCAAGTTGGTCACTTCAGTAATGCCCTGTTATGTGCCAAAGTTGCTCTGTTTTCTCAGTGTGCTAAACTTCCTCTTACTCTCATTCTGTGCCATGCCTACATTGCATCTTCTTTTGTGGCTGTTTCTTACTTTGCTTTCCCCCTTATTCACTAATTCTTGCCTTTTTGGTTTGAATCCTCTGTCTCTTTGCTATTTATGGTCCTTCTCCTCCCTTCCTGAAGCTCCCTTCTCTCTCCCCTTCCTCCCTCCTTAGTTTTCCTCATCTGACTGTGCCCTAATGGGCCAAGCAAAGGAGATGCTGCAGGTGTCATGATGGGGGAAGTTGCTTGCGCTGATATCTGTGAGACTGAAAGAGCAAACGGTATGAGAAGAGTGACTGCCTCTAGGAATTCATGAAATCCTCTTACCACCAGCTCTTGCAAAGCAAGACCTACTCTGCCCCTTGGTTATACAGGAGGAAACAAGGCTGTGCCAAGAGGAAACTTGACTTGGAATGATACTACTTGTGAGTACGGCAGCAGTACAGGCAGCGAGGTCAGGTCAACACTATGCAATCATTTCTTCATACTTGAAGCAATCTTATAACCTGCTTGTGCAGAGTCTTCAAGAAGTTAAGGATATTGGAAAAACAAATGATACACAGGATTGCATTTAGATGGAAACTCACTTTTCTCTAGCAATAATTGTATACAGTCCTTGTTTGCTTGCTGTTAGCTGCACGCTATTGTGGTGGTTCATCTCCCTCTCAACCTGGGTAATCAGTGACAGTTTATATTTTGTCATCTGTTTGGGATTAGCAGATGAACATTATAATTAATACCAGTGTATTCACAGCAATGCAAAACACTTAGATAAATTCATGTTCCTAAGATGCATGGGGTGAATATGAAACATGCTTTGAAGATTTTTCAGAGTAAGCAGGTTCTGGATATAATCCCTCTAACCTTGCTGTGAAATCTCTTCATTGTGTGGAAAATGCTTTTGACAACCCGTGGATTGGAGTTGTATCCTGGATACTGAACTTACCTAAAGGAAGATTCTCTGGCGTTGGTGATGTTTGGGAGGTACTACTTAAATAATCCTCTGCCTGGCAAAAATACAGTCCTGAGCTAGCAAAAATAGTCACAGATGGACTGTTGTCCATCGTGTTGTCACCTGACACTGAATATCAGAGTCTGCCTCTTGCCTTGTTTCTTCTGATTCTTCGCAGCCACAAGCATCTAACCCCTTTTATTGAAAAGGGGTGATATTTACTACTTAGTTCAAGTTTCACAGATATCTCCTCGTTGGATTCTATTTTTTTTTGTGAAGGGGGTGTCCTAGAGGCACGTGAAAGCTGGGAGCAGAAACACTTATAGTTATTTGCTTGCATCTCTGTTTTTAAGTTGCTGGAAGTGAGGGAACTAGAAGAAAAAAATGAAAAAGTACATTTTTATGTAGAAATTGTGCCCTTGGTAGAACTGCTGCTCATCTGGCAGTTAGATGTGTACATAATAATGAGCATTTCACCTCTGGTATAAAAGTGGCTCCCTGTGAAGTAAAGACATAGAATAACTCCTGTCTTAGCAGAGCAGCAGGGCTTGCCTGCTCAGCTCGCTTCCCCCCACGAGTATTTACTTTTCTCTTTAAAGTTTCACGAGCAGCAAGAGGCCGTTTCTGCCCTGTGCCCCCTTAGCGGGAGCTGCCGTGCGCAGGCCCTGGCGCTCATTAACCTGGCTGCTGCCAGAGGAACTTGGCACGGGGACGACGGAGGCGCCCGGCCATTGGTTTGGGGCCGGAGGTGGGATCTGGGGCTCGGGCTCTCCCCTGCAGCAAGCGCCAGAGCTGGGGCTAAGCAGCAACTGCGCCGCGTTTTGTCATGTCTTTCATCCAGGTAGACGAGAACTCCGATTTTCCTCTGCAAAATCTCCCCTATGGGGTTTTCTCCACCAAGGAGGAGGTGAGTAACTGCATGCTTTGTCCTTGCACTGCTGTAATTAGAGGCCATGAACAGGAGCAGGAATTCCCAGCAATTTGGAGCAAAGAGAAACTTCCCAGGCAGGTTGAGATGCTTGCACAGAGGCTTCCAGATTTGAAAATGAAACTATAGCTAATATGCTTTTTTTTCTTTTTTTTTCTTGATTTTTTTTTTTGGATGGCAGCTGCTTTAACATTGCCCAGCAGAAATGAAAAGAAATGTTGGTATTTCTGAGAAAGAAGTATTTTGGCTAACGAATGCCACAGTTTCAGCATGTTGTTGACCATTGCTGTGAAAGTGCTCGGTCCGTTTGATCTTTTTGTTCCCCTTGTACATGCAGGTCACAGATTTTTCACTGACTTTTTTTTTTTTTTTTTTTAAGCTGTGTTTCTTATTTCTTTTACGGCCAAGTCTAATCAGACTTTTGCCCTTTCCTCCAAAAACGGCGCTAAATATGTGTTTCACCTATGATGAATTCTGCAGTGTCCTGTTCCTTTTGTGCAGTATGAGCTGGTAGAGGTAAAAATAGAACTCCTGGTTGAAAAAGCTGGATTTGTCAGTGAGTATCATGTCTTGTGAGCAGCAGCGCTTCCGTCTGCCCTTCCAGAGTTTGGTGGGGCTGGTGCAGAGGCCTTAAAGCAGGGGACAAATCGTGAGCGTCACTTTGAAGGCTGCAGTTTGTAGGTCTTAACAGTTACATAAGAAAGTACTCTAACTTTTTCAAATAAACTAGCTACCCAGTGGTTATTTTAATGAGATTTCAGACCAGAATTTTATGCCTGCAAAATCCATCCCAGCAAGTATCCAGCCCCATAAATGTGCCCCACTGGAGGGAAGCAAATGAGTAGGGATACCTAAAGAGATAAAACAGGGAGATGATTTTATCACTGCTAAACCTAAAGAGAAAAAACAAGGGGATATTTTTATCCGTGCTAGTAGGTGCTTCATGATTAGGTCCTGGTTTCTGATCGCTTGGCTTATGAATAGCCAAGTTTAAAGTATCTTTTTAAAAGAAGAATTTAGAACTGTGTTTTCTCATCTGATATTTTCCAAAGATCAAAAGCAAGAGTGTTCATTTATTCTGTTTCTAGATGTGTATGTCGTTGTCTTAACAGACTTGTTTTGTTGTCTCTTCTCCATTCTGAAAACATTTTCATACAAGTCTTTATTAGCAGACAGCTAAGGTTTTCTGGATCTTTAGGAGAATAAAGTGCTACAAGTGGCACAAAGTTTGAGTGATTTCAGGTTAAAAGAGCTGATGTCATTCCTGCCTGCAACATCCTAGTTGCCGATTAACACGACCTGACCTTTAGTACATTTTGCAGGGCTGTTTGCTGAATAAATACTTATTATCATATTTGGAAACATGTTTAAAAAATGCAAGGCTTAAAAAATAAGTTTGGTAGTGTGGCTCAGCAGTGCCATTGGCTTGCGGCCTGCAAGGGCTGCAGCAAAAGAGCAGGAACTTTGTTTATTATTCTACATCTATCTGGCAAATGCAGCTACGGGCAAGAGTCACCAGGCGCTTGCAAAGCCCTCCCTAGGGTTAGGACTCAGCCAAGGGTTTGGTTGGAGCCCTGGACTTCTTGCAGGCCTGGAGGGGAGTTTGCGTAGCCTGGGCCTGGTCTGGTTTGCTCGGCGCGCTTGCCTTTGTGCGCAGCAGCAGCCGGAGCGCTGTGGCCGAAACAGGCAGAGCAACTGACTTCAGAAATGCCCATTTCCTTCCAACTGTGCCACTGTGTGGATGCGATGAATCCTGTCCTTGGTTTCTCTATGCCTTGGTTCCCCTCTGTAAAAGGAAGAATAGTGTTTTCCTGCCTGCCAGCATATTTCAGGTGTGAGGATAAGAATTTGTGCTGAAACGCTGGCCATTAATGGGGGAGGGGGCATATATTTCAGGAGAAAAGGGGATACCTCCATTTTGTTGTCCTACTCTTCCCCAAAAGACCAGCATGAGGAGAAGGTGCTCCCCTGCAGGGCTGTGAGGAGTCTGCCATGAAGCTGCTGTTAGTGTGTTTTCATCAGGCAGCTCTATCCATTAACTTTTCATGGTCGCTTGCTGGGGTACTGGGCCCTTGTCCCTCGTGGATTTGTCTCTGATCATTGTGTTTCCCCCTGCTTTGGCAATTTTGGGTGCAGTTATAAATTCCTTTCTTCTCCTTCTCCCTGCTTTGTAGCCTCGGCGCAGGATTGGAGTCGCGATTGGAGAGCAGATTTTGGATCTCAGCGTCATTAAACACCTATTCAATGGACCGTCTCTTTCCAAACATCAGCATGTCTTTGAGCAGGTACTCAGAACACAGCCGATTCTGATTTCCACGCACATTCCTCACACAGGCTTGAAAGTGCAGGACGTGCACATGAAGGGCAAGAAAAATGCCCTTCATCTGCCTCTATCACCCTATCTGCCTTTATCACCTTGCAGCCAGCCCTCAATGACTTCATGGCCTTGGGCCGTGGAGCTTGGAAGGAAGCGAGAGCTTTTCTCCAAAAGCTGCTGTCAGCCAGGGAGCCCACCCTGAGGGACAACACGGACCTGCGGAAGAGGTGAGGAGCTGGGAAGTCGCTCCTTCTATACTTAGCTATATCTAATGAACCCCTTGCCTTCCCACACATCTGGGTGTCACGCTCCGTGCGGGTACATGGGGCTCTGCCCTGGGTGGCTCTGGGATGTGGCAGCTCTGTGGAGGGATGCGCTGCTCTTGCTGCTGGTCGTCATCATCATCACTTTCAGCCCAAGCCATGACCCTGCCAGGCTCTCCTGGCCAGCTAGGCCACTTTGCCTCCTCTGCAAGCATGGCAGCGGCACTGATGGGGCCCAGGAGTTTGAATTGAGCACCCTGAGAGCCACGTTCCGAAAAATATTCGATGACGCCAGCTGCTCACCTAAGTGCATGCGAGTTATTGCAAAATAAATCAAGAAAGGCTTTAGAGAGAGACTCCCTCCTTTCCGCACTTCCAAAGGCACAACGGGCAAGAAGTGCAACTTTTCTGAGAGCTGAAGTCGTCATTTTTCGTTTCAGAGCATTTGTCCCTCAGGCTGCAGCCACGATGCACCTGCCAGCTGACATCGGTACGTCCCCGAGCCCTCAGCGCGGCCCTTTGCTCCTGCCCACTGGAGCTGTTCTGTGCCCAGATTGCTCAAACAGATCCCAGCTGTGGCAGGGAATGGGTTTTGTAGGAGCCAGAAGCAGATTATTTCATGTAATGAATGGTAGGTGCCGTCTGTGGCATGAGAATGAAAGCCTGGGTAAGCTCAATAGCAGCCAGAAAAATTCGGGATGCAGTTTTTGCTAAATCAGGGTTGTCTGGTGCCATAAAACTCCTGTCCTCAGATTTGCATCACCAAAGGCCTTTGAAATTGCAGCCAGGCAGGAAACACTTGAGTAATTTCAAGCACTTTTCCTGTTTTTTCTCAAGAAAAAAAAAAAAAAAAAGAAAAAAAAAGAAGAAAGAAAGGGACCTTCCAAATTTTGCAAGCCAGATACTCTGGAATAGCCTCATAAATAAACATGAGTTTCAATTCTTAGAATACTGCTCTGCATCCCAAATCTGACCTCCACTAGCATGAGCCTATGGACTGTTTTGGAGGGCATCTGTATATAAAATAACCTCTTGATTTTGAGGGGAAAAAATTAATTTGTACCAAAAAGGACAAAAGTGTCCTGACCCAGGTTTAATTCTTGCTTGCTCGCACCTCTGTGTGGTTGGAGTGAGTGTTGGGAGGAGGTCAAGCTGCCTTGCTCTGTGTTGCAGTCGTTTCGGTGGCACAATTCAGCTCGTTTCTCTGTGCAAGCCTTGAGTTAAGTGTTGGGTGTTTTAAGCTTTTCCGCGAGGTCTCCGGTTTCTCCCGGCTCCCGAAGCGGAGCCGTTTGCGGCCGAGGCACCAGAGGGCAGCAGATGTTCTGTGGATGAGCGGTTCCCTCCGCCGGCCCCGGCAGCAGCCCGGCAAGAAGAGCCCTGGAACCTGGGTGGGCTCCACAGAGCTGAGTGCTGCTCTACGGATTCCAAGAGAGGGCATCAGGATAGGGACTATAATTGAAATTAAGAAAAAAAAATACAGTTTTGTTGTTTGCACTGTTTCATAGGTGAATTGTTGATCACCACCTATATGCTATGAATTTTTATTACTATGTGCCTGAACCTAAATGTTTCTAAGTACTTCTGCTTAGCTCTTCTGCCTCTTTTCTGTTCTTTTCATTCCCACAGCATTTTTCTGTTGTTTAGGCTCAGCAGATGAGGGACTTTTTTTTACTATTGATTCATATTTTATGGGTTTCTTTCCTCCCAGGAGATTACACTGACTTCTATTCTTCACGGCAACATGCCACAAATATTGGGATCATGTTCAGAGGGAAGGAGAATGCCCTGATGCCTAATTGGTGGGTAGTTCAGGAATTCCTCTAGTGCAATGTTAGTCTATATACATGGCTGTAGGTATATACAATTTTTGTAAAGATCTAATGAACAGACTTTCAGCACAATAATAATTTCAGTTCACAACGGAGGGGAATTTGTGCTGTCAGAGTTGTGTAACAGAGCTGAAAATCACTTTTCCTCAGCCCTAGCTGAGTTTGCACTGCATTAGTGCATCTGCACAAAGGCAGATTTACTTAAGAATTTGTTTTTTGCTGAGTGACAGAAAAATAATGCAAAAGCTCCAAGGAATGAACTGGGACAGTGGCTTTTGGAGTGTGTCTGGTGCGTGTGCTGGTGTCTCGGAGCAGGAACGGTGCGAACACCCATGTCCCAAGTGTCCCTTGTCCTGCCGAGCAGCTCTGGGGACGGCTGCTCCGTTAACCTGCCCTCGTCGTTCTCTCTAACAGGCTGCACCTGCCCGTCGGCTACCACGGCCGCGCGTCGTCCGTCGTGGTGTCGGGGACACCCATCAGGAGGCCTGTGGGGCAGATAAATCCTGACAATGGTAAGTCCACAGCATGATTTTAATGAGGGTTTTTCATATAGAAAAGAGTGCACGAGAAGGAGCTGGGATGCCTTGTCTGAGGCTCAGATTTTGGGTTAGAGAAGCCCAGAGCCAAGTCAATTTTGTGTTTACATGACAGGCAGTATCAACCACTTTGTGTCCTCTAGCTACGTTATTTTATTTCCCTACCTGGCATCCTGTCATACTCTTTTTTGTTTTAACCCACAGATAAACATCCAGTGTTTAGTGCTTGTAAACGTCTGGATATGGAGTTAGAAATGGTAAGATGGTTTTCTCCCTTCAGTAGAAAAGTGGGTAGTGGAAACCAGCACAAAGAAGGGCTTTCTAAAATTCCCACTACATTCTAACATAGGAAAAAAGAAAAGTTGCCGTTCATTTCAAAACTGCATCAAATGGCAGATAAATAATTATACAGGAAATAAATGTATTTACTGTAGAGTCCTTCTGAAATGAAGGTGTCATAAGGTTCAGTGTTTTTCCTATAATTTCCTTTTGATAGATTTTTTTTCTTTTAGTAGGCAATAGGATTTCTGTGGTGGAAAATTTCCATTCCAGTGAATGTTCATACAGTGCTTTGCATTCCCAGTTTTCAAGCTGGAAATGACCAAATCCAGGCACCGGTGCAGCAATCTGGAACCGCAAGGGCATGTTCTTCTCATCAGACAGCACAGCCTGGTTTCTAGGTAGCAGTTACCCTTGCACTGCAGCCAGAATCTTTTCCTGGACATCAGGGATTGTGGAAGTGCAAGTTGTCTGGGCACTAAATCTAGAACAGGGGAAGCTGTGAATTCTCGGGGGTTCCATTCAAACACGTCACCCTTCTGGCTAGAATGAAAAGCACTGTGTTGTCACGAAGTGTGCTCAGAAGGTGCAGCTTCTTGTGGCTTAGTGTGGTCCCGCAGGAGAGTTTTATGTGAGTGTGGGTTGTGACTATGTGAGTTAAGTGCCATCTCCCGCCTAAGAAAAACAATGAAAGAGGCATAATATCAAGGGAAGTGATACTAAAAATGAACTGAAAACTTTAAACACTGTCCTTTGCAGGTTGATGGTTGAAAGTGGGAGTGCTTGTGCTTGTAGCCCTCTGTGCAGTAAAGCCTTTGTGATTCTGCAGGTGATTTTGACCTCTAGGATTTACTTTATTGACATTTTACTTTTCAATTCCAGGCATTCTTTGTTGGCCCTGGCAACAAGCACGGGGAGCCAATTCCTATCAGCAGAGCCCACGAGCACATCTTTGGGATGGTCCTTATGAACGACTGGAGTGGTAATGAGCACTGCTGGTGTTTGCCTGCCGTGGGCTACACTCTTAGATGTGGATAAATTATATATTGCAATTGAAAGGGATCAAAATGGAAGAGTCTCTGCATTTCTTGGGCATTATTTAGATGCATCATAGATAACCAGTAGAACCACAAATTCCTGTCTAATGAAGACTTAAGTTATATATGAAAGAGCTAATATTCCTTCTTCTGGACAGGAGTAGATCATCCATAAGACTGGTATTTTCACCAGAGGATTGATTTCACTGTCAGGATCAGGGAGAAGATTTGAAGATCACAAATCAGTTCCTGCATAGATTTAAGCAGACATAAGCACTGATAGCTAGTAGGAATTGGACTTACAATTGGTATTTACCCTACTGAGTGGATGTGAAAATATTAAGTACACTGGGGAGAAAAAGACTTGCTGTATAAGGATGACCTGACTTGTTTTAATTATCCCTGGATTTTCTTTCTAATCTAGTGGTTTTGAAAAAAACTGAGGATTTGAAAAAGGTGAATTTAAATCAGGATTTGGGCACAATGGTTTGGAAAAAGGGGGGATAATGTTTCCAAGTCCACACAGCTCGTTCTGTAGCTGGATGCAGTCCTGTGCTGATCTTTCACTGGTGTTAAGGTTGTGCAACTCTTAGGATATGTTTAACAGTGTTGCTTTGCATTTTCTTTCTAGCCCGTGACATTCAGAAATGGGAATATATTCCACTGGGTCCATTCCTGAGCAAGAGTTTTGGCACAACCATCTCTCCTTGGGTTGTTACAATGGAAGCTCTCATGCCATTCGTGTTGCCAAATCCTGTCCAGGTAAGCACGAGAAAGGGGTGAGATGAAGGGGGGGAAAAAAAGGAGAGTGCTTAAAAAAAAATCTCATCAGCAATAGTAGGTCCCACAAAGAAGAATCATTAAACTCTACCAACACCAAGCACATTTTTCTAAGAGTCTGCAAGTGTGATCCTGCCTGCAAAACAGATTAGGAAGCACTGGGCCACCTGAGTTCAAATGCTCGTTGATTTTTACTGGTTCTTTTGTAAGGGTTCTGACACCATGTTGCTCTTTCGTATTTTCTCTCGCACTGACTTGAGCAGGACAAAAAAAAAATATTGAAAAGACACTGGTCTCAGAGCTTTTTGGTAGAGTTTGATAGCACCTAGCATCCAGCAAGCAGTAGAGAGTGGAGTTAAGGCAAAACCCTTTGTTCAAGCATTTCCAGTTGTTGATGCTTCATGCAAATTTACTTGAAAAGAGGAAAAGAGATAGTGAAGGGTCATACAGAGAATTTGCCACCTTCTTTTTGCAGGCGCAGTGCAAAGGTGGGCTCGCACTGTGTTTGTTCTGGATTAGCACCTGTGTAATGATGGAAAGGGCTTTTGGAACCCAGGTGCAAGAAAGGAAATTTGATTGCATGGATGTTCAAATTTTTTTTTTCCTTAAAAAAACGAGTGTAAGAGGAAGAAAAGCAATAATGTAGACAGCAATAATGGTAAAGTAAATGGAGCATGTAGCACAGCCTGTTATAAGCAAAGTTGCTGGCAAGGCTTGAGGAATTTTTCCTTTCTGTTTGTTTAGCCTATGACACCTTTTATCTGCTTTAGGATCCCAAGCCATTGCCCTACCTCCAAGATGAAGAGCCCTACACGTTTGACATCAAGCTCCTTGTTGCCCTTAAAGGTATGGCAATGCTGTGTGTGTCCCAGAATTGAAATCCCAGTTAAGGAAGGTAGGATCCACTATGTATTTCAGACGATTTGCTCTTGGCTGCACACTTCTGCTCACACACCTTAGCCCATATCGCCTCTGTCAGAGAAGGCAAAGCTCCCAATGTTATGGTATCAGCTCTGGGGTGTCATGCCAGCCCAGCACAGGCACCAGCTAAAGGGCCTGCTGAGCAGTAGGTCCAGTTGCTGCTGCTGCAGAGCAGTGAATAGGAAATGTAATAGGAAATTAACCCCGTGTCACCCACGCATTTGTTTTCTACGTAATGCTGGCCTTCATGTGGGTATGGAAAATGCTCTTTCATGTCTCCTGCTAAGGATTGTGATGATAAAAGAAGTCTCCATCCATCTAAAAAATGAAAAGATTTCAACATCTTTCATCCAATGAATTCTTTCCCTGTTTCTTATTTTTCCTTTTCCATAGGAGAAGGAATGAGCACACCAACTACTATATGCACATCTAATTTCAAGGTAAGGCTTTTGCATCCCTTATAGGTTTGAAGTGTTGCTTGTGCCCTCAGCCCTGACCTTAAGCAGTTTCAAACACTGGCTTTTGTATACGCTGAAGATCAGGGCAGGTGAGAGGGAGAGAGAAGAGGGGAAAAGGTCGATGTTCCTTCCTCTTGCTCATATGGGAACTACCTGAACGCTTGAACGAGCGGGCAGCTCTCCCTGGCGCTCTCCTTAGCATGCTCAAAGCATCATCAGCTCTGTACTCATTTGCCAGGAAAGAGCGAGAACAGAGGCCTGTGAGAGCAAAGGGAATTGCCTCGTGCTGTGCCAAGGTGGAAGCCTGCAGTGGCAGCTGGTCATTTACACGCAGACTCGCTGCGGTGGCACCGCTGCTGGCGCTGTGCCCGTCCCCGGCCCCGTGGGGACACAGCAGCCGCGTTGCCTTCACCCACTGGTGCAAGGTGCTGTCAGCCAGGAGGGGCTTGCACCAGCTGCAGGACTTCTCTGGGTGTTAGGAAATTGCATATACACCAGTTCCCTTAAACAGTAAATCAGTAGTCAGAAAATTAGTAATAAGCAGGCGTTTTCTATAAACCCATCAAAATATTGGAGCTTAGTAGGAACCCTGGTTTAGCAGTGCTGGCATTAAAATGGAGGGAGGAGAGAAGTGACACCCAACGTAAAGAAGAGAAGTTTGAAGGTATTAAATAGTATTTTAAAGCATATGTTTTAAAGGCGTGTTAGTTTCCAGTCACCATTTAGAAAACAGAAACTATGAACTATTCTACACTAAATAACTCTGTGAATGTTCCTTAGGAAACTTTTTTTTAGGAACAGCCTTGCCACATGCAAACATGCAAGAGACATGCTTGTCCTTCATTGCTTTAGTCTCCTCTTCCTGTTCCTCCAGCACATGTACTGGACCATGAAACAGCAGCTAACTCACCATTCAGTCAACGGATGCAACCTCCGACCTGGAGATCTCCTGGCATCAGGAACAATCAGTGGACCTGTAAGTGTTCAAGTAAACTGTATCCACAGATGTCATTCAGCAATCCAAAACCCACCAGGCAGGGCTCTGGATCGGGTCATATTTGGCTTGAGCAGTCACGGAAATGCCTGCAGTTCTTTCCTAGGCTTTTGGGGCTAATGCTTATGTAATCCAAGACCTCACAGAGTTCTTTTTTTCTTTTTTTTTTTCCTTTTTTTTTTTAATGTTCCCTGTGTTTCTTTCGATAAGAGCTATTTCTAATATTACGTATGCAAATTAATTTCTATACACAAGCATCCACTGCACAGCCCATTTTCGCTCTCTGAAATACAGCTATTTCCATTTCTGAGAAGAATGTAAAAGATACATGGGCATAAACTTCAAAATAATAACTAATTATATTTTTGGAGATATTTAAACTTCTAGTTTCTCTAATACCACATACCATATGCCACGTCTTCACAAGCTATGGTTGCATTGTACTGCCCTACACGTGATAGTTGAAGCAGGTAGCAGTATGGGTAAGGTAGTGGCACATCCCAAAGCACCAAATACAAACATTCTTCATGCATTTCAGGTAGCTTTGGGAAAGCTGTTTCCAAACCTGGATACCTACACTTCTGTTTTGAGCATTTCTTTGCTTTTTACTTCATCTACTGGCCTTAAAGATTTACAAACGTTTAGCAACTTTGTTCTTCTGAAAAAAAAAATGTAAATGAAATTCTGAAATGTGACTATATAAAAACACTGTATTTGCAAAAGAAGTGCCCTAGATTTGTTTTCTTTCTTTCTTAGCAGGACTTATGTTTTTTTCAAGAGTTTAGTGTTAGATTAAACATACCAGATAACTGTTGGAAGCCACGACTGCTTACAGCGAGCAAAGAATTAAACTACAATGGCAGGAAAATAAGCCAATGTATCAATGAATTAGATCAACAGCAAGGAACTCTTCTATACAGTTAACATATCTGCATGCCTACTTCCAGCAGCTAGTAGTTTAACAGTAGGACAGATGTATGAAAGAGCTGCTTGTTTATTTGTGTATTCATTTTTGGTGTAGGACCCTGAGAGCTTCGGCTCCCTGCTGGAGCTGTCTTGGAATGGAACAAAAGAAATTAATCTTGGCAATGGACACTCCCGTAAATTCCTGCAGGATGGAGATGAAGTTATATTAACAGGTAAGGGTTGAACCACTTTTTCTTTTTTCTTTTTTTTTTTTTCATTATACCTAGGAAATACATTCATAGACTCTTCTCACTTGTGAAGGTGCCTGGTGAGCAGACACACTGTTCTGTACATACCCACCACGCAATCACATTTGTCTCCATTCTACCTACTGGGAGGCAGAAGCAAACTGATATAAAATTCCATGCTGTAAATTCCTTTCAGGTATTCCTTTCAGGTTTGTTTATTGGTTTTGGTAAGTAGTTAATGATCTTACTATGCTTGCGCATTAATGTTGAGGGGATGACTGGTGCAGGGTGCCTTTGAGGGTGAGAGCATCTTGAGAATGGAAGCAGTTGCTGTTTTGCTACCACTAGTGTTCAAGTTTACATGTGGAGCAGAGCTTGGCAAGTCGTGAAGAAGGTTATTTTGCAAGCGATGTATCATTTGCAACATATACATATTCATTGAAATGCATTGCAAATTAAATATGTGAGAAACAGCATGAAGCTTGTTAGAACAGTTTACCGGCTCCCCTTTGAAAAGGGCTGTGCTTGAGAGCTGTTTTGTGCTGGGCTATGATTTTATTTTTCACCTTGAGAAACTAAGGCATTTATAAATTTAAATCTAACATGGTGCTTCAGACTAAATTCTGCATTTTTTTTAATTCAAAGTCCAATGCAAAACAAACCTATTTTCTTTCCTCCCATCCTGTCAACCACTTCATGGCTTTGAGGTGCCGTACATCTGGCAAGCTCAGCCAAGTGAAACATTTGACTCGGGCCTGCAGACCCGTTGCTATGACACCTATTGAATTTTTAGAGAATATCTTGTGGGATTTTGTGCATCACCAGATCGCACTCGGAGGACTGTCAAATACCATGCCCCATTGCAAGTAACTCCCTTGTTCAAGCTTTATTGCTGATGGGATCTTATTGGAAATGTGCAAGATTGTAAATCTGCAAAGATCTGCGCTGAAAGTCAGCAAAGGGAGCAAATGGTCTCAGTGAAGGGAACCTCCTCCTGAACACTGAGTTTTCAGAAGACCAGGTAAATGCTGGCACTCCCGCACTGTCCTGCTGGATATGTTTCAATTTCCAAGTGACGGCTCTCTAAGCTTTACTTGAAATAAATACTTTCAGAGCTGAATATCTTTTAGTTTTAAAGATGGCTTAATGGGCTTGTGGTTAACCTAGATGAAGGCAGCTTTATCCCATGGGACAGTCCTATGTTCACCAGTTTCACACATGTTATTTAAAGAAGGAAGATTCCCCGCTGGCAGCACTCGGGGCATCGAACCGGCCGTGGGAGCCGGGCCTTGGTGTGCACGAACAGAAGTGAGAGCTGCCGGAGCTGCCCTGGGACACATTGGGATGTTTCCCTGCCTAGTGACTTAAGGCAGACCTTAAGGCACCTGGAGGCAGCACTGCTGCTGTTGCACCCCCTTCGAAGGCCTAGATCTTGCCAAGTGCCAACTCGTCATTTCTAGTCTCCCATTTCAGCTGCACGTTTTTGCTCCCCTCTCACTCCCCATGGGAGCTATTTCCAAGCCCTAAGGCTCAAAGGGAGGGAAATCCGTGATTGCTCGGCGTGTCTTGTGCAGGATGCATTGCAATCCCGGGCTGGCCAGGGCCGTGCTGAGCTGGGAGACCTCCCCACAGCTCGATGGTGCTCAGCGCTGGCTGGCGCTGCCGGCAGCACAGAGCTCACTCTGTTAAACAGGCTGCTCCTCCGGACAGCTCTAGATTGCAGCTGACAGCAGGGATAACTAAACTGGACTGAAATAATAAGCCAACGTTCAAAGGAAACCTGGCAGCGAAGCCTAATGAGACTAATGGAAATAGAGCTGAACCTTGAAGCAAGTGTCTTACTCGAGCGTTGTTCACTAATGAGCATCACCCTGTGGATGTGGGAAGGTGCTCTGGGGCTGGCTGCTGCGTACAGAGCTACAGATGCTGCTGGCCTTGGAAAAACCTCTTTAAACCTCTTTTCAACCTGGCTGGGACAGCTGCGCTGCTGGATGAAGGTTGTAGCAGCTGCCTTAGTGCTGCAATGGCTCTGCTGGGTCTTTGCAGAGCAGCCTGAGCCCAACCTCTCCTGCGCTGGAGCCCGGGGGATCTGCTGGTCCTGGGGGAGACTGGGGACTAGGGGTTAAGCTCTGCCCTGCTCAGATCCCTCTTTGCATCTCTGAGGCCACTGGCTTTTTATCACATGCAGGGAAGATGATGTATTCCGTTCTTTTAGAAAAATCCATCACTAACTCTGAAGACACCCCTTAAAATACAGTATAGGCTACTCGTGCCCTTCCTTTGACTGGCTGTTGCCAGCGAATGGCTACCGCAGGGCTCCTCAGCTCCGTCTTCCCAGGATAGTCTTCCCAGATGGGCCCTAAGGTCCAGCTGTGACCCCTCCTTCCTCTGCAGCTTCCCAGTGGATGCTGCTTGTGGAGCAGCTCTGCTGGCCCCAGCAGCCAAGGGGACTGCAGCATCCCTTGGGCACGGCGTCATCTCTGCCATCACACACAGGCATGGGGAGGTTGAGTTGTCCCATAATTAAAGATGTTGTCGCAGATCAGTAGCTTCAGCAACAGTCAGCAGACTTTCAATGTCTATTTATGTAATCAGGGATAAATGGATATTTTCAGTGCTGCGTTTCTCAAGGAACTATGCTGCTTACATTTAGCAAGCTAATCAGATTCTGCTAGGGCAGATCCCTGTTGTTCAGGCTTTTAAAGATCATCTTTCTGGCTCATGAGCACCCCAAAGTCAACATCCCAAGAGCAGTCCTAAAGCTGCAGAAAAGGAACCCAAATTTGCTTTATTAACTGCAAGGCTTGACCAGACAGCAGTTCTGCTTGTCAGCTAGATGGATGATGCTGCAGGTTCGGTTTCAATGCAGAAATATTGCATATGTTACTAACGCTTTGATCATGTTCCCCAAACTTGCATATTGCTGTGCTTTGTGCTTTTTGTGGTGTGTGGTTTTTGTTTCTGTTTGTTTTTAATAATATTGGGCCACTTGAACTCTTCTCTTTTTCCCCTGTTGTATTCCTAGGAGGTTGGATCTGTCAGTCAAAAAATTAATAGTACTATCCCACTGACTTGCTGACATGCAATCTTAAGATGTGACATCTTCATCAGCAACCAACTCAGTTCCCAACCCTGCTCTGAGAACTTCATGGTCCTAAAGCAAATTTAAGCGCAGTCTCTACCTTGCCCTGCTTCTGCTCGCTCCTGAAGGGTTGGAGAAGAGCACTAAGCTCCCCAGTGCTCTGAAGCTGGAGCCTAGTCTTCAAGGATGAGGGTGCTCTTAAAATAGTTGTGTGCTTGTGCACCGAAAAAACAGTGTAAATATCCTGTCAGGGCCCTGTTCGTTATCACCTGTGTTGTCAGGCCGTCTTTATAAGCATAAACTGAACATACACATAAATCTAGCTGCCTAGGCACTGAGATATAGCTGGGAGCCAGCAGAGAAGTCCCAGAGAAGAGGTCTAATTTCCTTTAATTCACTTTTATCATGGTGCTGCTCTTGTATCAACGTCTGTCTCTGCTTCCTCATCCCAGGTTACTGCCAGGGCAGCGGCTACCGTGTGGGATTTGGCCAGTGCTCAGGGAAGATTCTTCCAGCCCCATCATTTCCATGATGCCGGGGGTAAGGTGACCATGGAGGAAGAGACGAAGGATCACTCTTCCCTGTCTCTCTATTTGGAGAAGCCCTGCAGCTTTGTTCAAATTTACTGTTTTTATATGACTGGTAGAAATATTATTTTTAATTATCAATAAATACCTTACAGATCAATGCTGCTCTCTGGCCTAACATTGGTGTTCCAAGGGTGAAGCACTGAAAACCAGTTCTTAAATTTTTTAGAATAAGATGATTGGAGAGTTTTTTTTTTTAATTTCCTGAGTGTATTAATAATTTTATCATAATAGTAAAGTTTTCAGTTAAACTTGAAACTGCAGAGTATGAGGTTGATGGTAACACCAGGGATTGAATGCTTATATGGGTATAGATTTTAAATGCACTTCATATGCTGGTGGTAAGAACTCAAAAGATGAGCTTTCTATGAAGGATGCGCATTTACAAAACAGTCTGGGGAAGGAAGAGTTACAAGAGCATGTCCTAATCTATAATAAAATGCTTCTTGAATGGAAAACCCTGCAAAAATACATACTGAATAAAGAGTGACTATTAAAAGAGTGAAAGCAAAAACCAAAAATCCAAATGAAATTGTACTGCTTAAAAAATAAAACCAGAAAAGAGCATGAAGCTCTTGTGCATAAAATAAAGCTGTTGGCTTGTAGCAGTGTGCAGAGATGCCTTGTGCAAGGAAGGCCACAAGGAAGGCCCTGCGGCCACCTGTGCTGATTTTTCTCCGCTTTTCTCCATTTTTCTGTGTGCGAAGGGCAGCTGCCGTGTCCCCCTGCTCCCCAAGCCGCTTCAGCCGCGTGGCCCAGGAC